TAACGTTGGCTAACGGAGGGTTCAGATGCAAGTCGGCACGGGTTCCCGTTTATAGAATGAGCTGAAATTTTTACTGGGAGTATATAAACACGTAATAAATATAATTAGAGGGTATGCGTAAAAAAAATAAAAATAAGGAACACCCTAACCTGTATACATGTTTACAGGGTGTCTCTCTCTCAGATTTTATTCGTGAACATTTTGTAATCGAACTTGCAAAAGAAGAAAAATGTAGGTATATGAACTTGTAAGCTTTAAAGCTTTGTTTTTAAGATACAGGGTATTAAAGTTAATAAAAAAAATATGGTTGCCACTTTATTATAAGTTTGTTTTTTCCAGGGCAAATAAACGAATTTTGTTTTATTCTTAATTATTAAACAAGATAGAGAAAAAATGCAGGAGACAAAAAATTGTAATTGGGCCATTCCACGCTTAACGGATAGGACAGTTGCAGTGTATTTATTTACAAAATAATATTGTTCTATTATATTACCAATGTCAAATTTTTATAAATAGTTCTAAACAAAAGCTGTTTAACAAGGTTTTTATTTGGCAAAATTAGGTATCGTGATTGACTGTTTAATTCCTTAAAAATTAATAATTTAAAGCGTAACGGACGGGACTATTACAAAGTCCCGTCCGTTACGCTTTAAATTATTATTTTTTAAGGAATTAAACAGTCAACCACGATACCTAATTTTGCCAAATAAAAACCTTGTTAAACAGCTTTAGTTTAGAACTATTTATAAAAATTTGACATTGGTAATATAATAGAACAATATTATTTTGTAAATAAAAACACGGCAACTGTCCTATCCGTTACGCGTGGAATGGCTCAATTTTAATTGCTTGAACCGAAAAAAATATTGTAGTAGTAAAAGTCAAGGGAGTCGCAAGAAAAACAAGCGGAGATTTTTTATCACAAAAAAGTAGCATTTTTGATTGTAATTTCTTTGTTTTTATATAAACAAAAAGGTTACAACCAAAAACGCTACTTTTTATCATAAAAATTCCGCGGATTTATGGTTTTGACTTTTACTCAAAGTTCTTTGATTAAACTTGTAAAAAAATCAGTAGCGTACTTACAAAATTTTATTTATAAATATCCAGTTGGGTTTCCTTAATTAAATTTAAATAGAGTAAATTAAGCACTTAGCCTATTGCTAAAAACCTAAAAATTTTTAATAACTTCGGCACAAAAAATTTTGAAATTTTTGAGAAATAAATATTTTTAAAATAATTTTACTACCCTGTATCTGGAAAACGAAGCTTTAAAACATAGAAGTTCATATTAACTTTTCATCTTATTAAGTGAGTTCTATTGACTAATGAAGTTTCCCTTTAAAATTTTAGACTCAGCAGGCAAAAGGACCCTTTCATAAATTGAGAATCAATAAAAAACATATATCGAAAATCAACAGTTTCAGAAATACAAGGTGTTGAAGTTGCATATTTTTTTTTTTAATTAATTTCTACCAAACTAAAGAACCTATTTTAATAAAATTATTATTAAGTATTGTTTTTTTATTATGTATCTACATTCCTTTCCATACTACAAGCAGTGGAGTCAATACGGGGGTGATAATATCCCTTTTTATAGAAAAAAAGGTATGCCAATGATATATTATATACTTTTTTATACTTCTGTATTGAATCTATTTGAATATTTTTACTTTTTTACTATTGTACCTAGCTGCTATGAAATCCTTTTTAGGTTTTTACTTTGTGACAGTTAAATTGACAGGTTGACGTGCCGCCAATTTTAAATTAAGCGGCACGGCAGTGATGACGTTTTTTATCTATTACTAACGTGCCCGTAAAAAATAAATTGTAGGCACTCTAAAGCCTGATTTATGGATTGCCTTCCTCCCGAAGAAGATGAACAATACAATCCCGTACGGGAATCTATAAACGGCACTACGGTTTTCGTAATATAAAACATACACAATTGGGTTATGTTCGTAGTTTGCAATGTGTCACACATTATGTGTGGTATAACTAAATTTGCATTAGAAGGTATGAAAAACGAAAATTACGGCTTAAAGCCTCGGAAAAGAACAAAGAAATTTTGTTGAAGTTGGTGTTAATTTTATTCAAGTGTTTGTTCTTGTAAAAGATTAATTAATTATATAATTATAATAAATTATGCATGCTTTATACACTTTGTTTTTAAATAATTTATATTGAAAAATATAGGTACACAAATTTTAAAATGTTATTTTAATAAAGCAAATTTTAAAATTTAACTGTTGCAGTTCTAGTCCAAATTTTTTTACCCTGTGTATTTTATAAATAAAAATATTGTTTCAGAGCATAATTTTAATTATTTGTCAAATAAATATTACAAATGATAAAAACAATTTGAAAATAGTTTCATACACTGTGCCTGTTTTTGCTTTCAAGCAAATACAATTGTTTTTACCTACAGGGTATATTTTCTTATAAAATGCCTTTTAAACTTGTATCACTGGCAAAAACTGTTAATAATATTATACTATGTTTATTCAATTTGAAATAACTGTTTTTTTATTTACAAACAAAAATACTGTGTATTTTTATCCATATTTTAAATCAGCAACCAATCTACATTTTAGATGATTTTATTGGCCAAAAAACAAATCTAGTAAACCATGACTTAATTATTAATCCATGGAGCCTACACAAGGAGCCCGAACTTAATAGGGAAAATTGACAAAACCTGCCCTCTAAATTGCACAAATTAAGTCTTTTTTTTTTCACCACCAGCGGCGCTGATTGTTGATGCGTCCTGACGTCTGCTCTTTTGGTAGCGTTTCGGTACAAATTAGTCAATTGTTTCAGATTAAACGGTACACCAGCGCCTACTTTCCTTAGGAAGATTCTTGTTTACATGCAGTTCGGACTCCTTGTGTAGGCTCCATGTTATTTTCTATGGTTAAAAGCAAATGTCACAAATGTCAAATAAATCTTGATGACATTTTAATTGTTTTATGACTAATTTAAAATGTCAATGTATAGAAATCGACTTGTTTAGGGAAAATATAAACGTTGAAAGATTATTTTATAAAACAACAGTTTTTAAAGAAAATTACTACATTACCATGTCATGCAAAAACCTATATCCACTGATATACTTAATCAGTTGATATAAATAAATCAACGTTTCTGCATACGGCCCTAGGTATCATGAATATACTTAAGCTGGGTTCTAACAGAGAAATAACGTAATATAATTTAATTTAACTTTAAAAGTAATTTAATTTACTTGCGTTCATACAAAAAGTAACGCAATTGAATAGTGTTTAAAATTAAAAACAATATTTTAAAGAGAATGCTTACTTCATGTATCTAAAACTTTAAGTTTTAGATATATGGCCCAAAGATAATATCTTTGATATGGCCTACTTTGGTAATAACAATAGAAATATTTTTCTTATTATTAAAACCGTTCACACAAAATAGGTTAGATTCTCCCAAAATAGGAAATAACCTTGAAATAACGTAATTTAATTTACTTTTCTGTTAGAACCAGGCTTAAGTCTTAAATTACATCACTGTATGAACGCTACAAAGGATTCTTCAGTTTTTAACTTTTAAGTTAAATTAAATTACATCTTAAATTAAATTACTTTTCTGTTAGAACCAGGCTTTACTATCAAAACTATTAATAACTTTATGTTTTTTAAGAATTTACTTTGGTTAAATTAATTTAAAAAAAACAGAATAAAAGACGAATTTTCGGTCAAATTAAATCTACCGGTATACCGCGGTATTCAAATAATGGATGATGCGCACTGTTACGCGCAAAATGTGCATATTATGTATGTCTGCGCCCTTATAATTAGTGGTCTACGCTCATGATTTTTTCTTAGACTTTTGTTTATTTTAGTTGATAAGATTTGTGTAAAGATGTTTAGGCTAAACAAAAAGTCCCATGCATGTGATTTCATTTTCTTTGTATTAAGTGTTTATGATTAAGTCCAACACTAATACGATACATTTATTTTTGTTGATATAATTTATATGACAAAATAGTTAAAGTTCTTTAAAACGTAGAAAATATGTTAGGAGGGGTAAAAGGTCTTTATGGGAACCGCCAAGATAAGCTTGGCGAACGGAAAACAACAAAAGTTCCACAGATTTTGCAAAATTATTATGTAGATGTAAAAAAAAGTGAAATTTTTAATAGAAGACTGGTCAAACTAAATTTTGACTAGTGTTATGTACATATGAAGCAGATGTGAAAATAAAGAGGTTTGTTTTATCAATTTACATTTTTAATCTAGCAGTTTCAGGGACTGAAGAAAAAGAAGCTTCTTTATCTAGATATATGGGAATCAGAAAGTGAATCTGAAAAATCGGAAGGCGAAGATTAAATACAAAATTAAAAATGAAGTTTGAATAAAATTTTACATGTAATAATAATAATAATACTTTCAAGTCTATAAATTGCGTATTGAACATTGCAATAATGTACGCGTTTTTGAAATATTCAAAATAATTTTGTCAGAGAATTACATAACTGATCAGGAAATAAGACATATTAAACGCTTGTATATTTGTCCAATAAAAGGTGAAAAATATAGAGGTTGCACAAAACCCTTAACTTTATGGTATCCAACATTAAGCATTTGATTTTAAATATTTTTATTAAAAGATCCTAAATAAATCAGTTAAGGGGCTAAATTTTATGACTTCATAACTTTTCCATGTTAGGGGTTTCCGACGCGTCCAATCACCAAATATATTTTTCCGACAAAATATTCATTTTAAATTTAAAAAACTTGCAATTAAAAAAAAGGCTATAGTTCGTTAATATTTTTCTTACATCAAATTAACGAGTTTGAAGGGGTCCCACACAAAATAGCCCTGCCACAGAGAATTTTGTTATGTAAGAAGTTGTCCGACTGTACATAAAAAACATATACAAAGTCTCAATGGTAAGGTTATCATATTTTTTTTAGGCAAGTATTATATCATATAATAATTTATATGTATATACAAATTAGAGTAACACTTACTTAGCAATAAGAGTGATGGTTTCCTCATCAAGATCTTCTTTAAAAACCCGAATTTGGCAATTTTCATCACTCATATACCAATAAGAATGTCCATGCTTATCTCTACCTAAAGGTTGAGACCTCAAATCTTGGGCTGACATTTTATTGATATCATTTTTAAATTTAACATGATAATCAAATTGAGCCTCCAAAAGTTCCTAAAAATATCAAAATTATAGGCTCTAAAATAGTAACCTGTAATTTATAATATAATAAATATTAAAAAGTACTTAGTTCATAATGTTTGATTGGTTAAACATTTATCTAACTAAAAATATTAAAGACGCATTGAAATAAGGTTAAAGTTTTAAACCTTCAAAAACTTATTACAATACAATTTTTATTTAAATTTAAATGCTTAGTTATCATTATGAAGAAAAAAAACTATGCTCCACATAAAAAAAATCCCACCTTGACATTTGAATACAAATATGTAATTAAGGTTTTCTATCTGTCAATTTTAAGCTAATTTCGTCTTATTTTCTAAAAATAATACAATAATATTATATTATAATTTACATATTATGTACGTATAAAGTGTTCTAAATTAAGACCTTTCTACAAAAATAATACATATAGTGGATTATTTTCTAAAAATAAAACAAAAATAGCAGTATACTGACAGAAAGATAGGAAATAGTATATTACGCAACAAGTGTGGGAAGTGGCAAATTACGCATGAGTGGAAAAAGTTGCGCACGAGCGCAGCGAGTGCGCATTTCCACGAATGCGTAATTTGCCTTCCCACACGAGTTGTGTACTATACTTTTTCTACGACCACACTCTGTTCGCCTTAAAAAAAATAAAAAATAAAAACTCCCAAAAATTTTAATTTATTTATGCTAATGAACCACTTACATTTCTTTATAGTAATTATTAATGGTAACTGTACAATTATTAAACGTAAGGGAAGGATTTGCATTTTCTTTATTACAATTGACAATTATACTATCGTTGTTTACCGACTGGTCCACATTAATAGTTTCAGAATCATTAAATACAGAAGTTCCTCCACTTTTTTTATTGCAATTGGCTAGTATACTATCAATGTTAGCAGCAGTTTCAGATTTATTAAATATATTTTTTGATAATTCTATGTAGTTTATTACAAAATTTTTGTGTTCAAGTTTCATCGCCGTACACTGACAGTCGTCAAATATTGACAGTTCACAGCAGCTTTACCAACATAACCTTAATAATATAAACAAAAATCCCCAGAAAAAAACAAAATAGACAGAAAAACCCTAAAAGTGTGTTTTTTTATTACCATTACGCACGTGTGCGTAATGACTAACTTTCAGTTATTAAGACTTTTACTGTAATGATCAAATTACATAGTGGTCGTAGAAAAAATAATTATTGTTATGTCAAGGTGGGACTTTTTGATGTGACAACATACATAAATAAATAAATTTTTTAAATAGATTTGATTTTTGGACTCCAGGTCCTTTTTTCGGATCGCGTCTAATATACAAATATGATACCTACTCAATTGAACAGTTTTTACTTCACCCCATTTAAACTAACTAATTACCTTAAGGGCTCTAATTTTGCAAGATAGTTTGGATTTTTTATATCCAAATCGTTCAATCTCCCAGGCATCTATAGATGAATATCCATGGCAAAATTGTACAAGAACCCTTTCCCACTTATCGTTGTGTACAGTTTTTCTAGTTTTTCTTAATAGTTTTATGGTCAAAGCCAAAAGTGCTGGTGGAACTAAAAAACAATAATTTAATCAAATAAATGCTTTGATTTCTTTATTAAAAAAACAACAATAACCATATAATAACAAAAAAAAACAACAATATGCGATTAAACATAATGGATACTAAAGTAATTTGCACAGATATGAGCATTTAAAGCTTACCTTCGGTTGTATTTTCCAGCATAGTTTGCAATTCCAAAAAGTCAAGTTTTGGTAAATTGCACGCATCTCCAAACTTTTCGAAAAAAGCACAAATAACAGGAAAATTCGGATCATTTTCACAAGAAGCTTCGTTTTCAGACGCCATTACTACCGCTATGTTGACATTTAAATTATAGAACCACTTTATTATGACGGTTTACACTGATAAATTCACCATTTCAATAAAACAATAAGTTCGGTCTTAAAACCGTTTAATAATTTTATTCACAGTTTAAACGGTTCTCGAATAAAATTAGATAATATCTATATTATAATTCGTATCAAAACAAACCAGCCATGATTTCGCGTTCGTAGTTTAATGTTTCGCGTAACCGTTCATAGGGAGCGCTGGTGTTTGAGACAAATTTTAAGGTTTGTTCCAACACATGTCATACTTAACCATTAAACAATAAATTTAAAATAAATTTTATGGTAATTCCTGTAAGATAAATAGCTGCTAAATGACTGCTTGATAATAAATAGCTGCTTAATAATAAATAACTGCTTTAAGTATTGTTAACTAACTTATAAGTTAGTAAGTCCTTAATGCCCGTATGCACCGTTTTAAAGCCTAAGCCAGGGTGGCCCTGGCCTAAGCCTAGTTAGCAAATCGCGATTATGTTAATCTTTCTCCATCATAATGCACCGTACGCGGATTGTGCAATCTGGATTGGCGATTTGGCAAAGCTCAGCATGTTTTATTTGTCAAAAAAACACAAAAAACTGTCAATAGAGTAATTGCATCAAAAATGAAAATCCCTACAAACCTTTTTATTGTAATCTAGAGGTAAAAACACATTGCGAAAATATTTTTTTATATTCCAAAAGTTCAACCCGGCCCCAAAATATCAAATTGAAAAAAAGGTACTTTTCAAACGTTCCGAACTCCCGCCATATTGCATGACGTCATAAGCTTCACCAGCTGTCAGAAATCAAGATGTCAACAAATAATAAACACCGATAAGTTTATGTTTATACATGGAAAACGCGAAACCAAAAATTGGTTGTAAATATTGTTTTGTGCCTTGTTGTACAAATACAACCTGGAAAACTCCTGGGAAAGTTGTCCCTTCAATTATCAAAAGCAAAGTTTATGACCCTACACTGAGAGTAGTTACGGCTCAGCCGTATTTTCTTGAATTTATTAATATTTAACATACCTATTCAAACCATATACCTAGTAAACGACATTTTATTTTACTTACATTAAAATGATCCTTAAAATGAGCAATAAAATGGTGACGATGTTTTGATATCGCGCCGAGCTATTTTAATCCACTTTATCCTTATTTTCCCTTTTGGCACGGTGATAAACCTTTTCCCAGGAGTTTTTCAGGTTGTATTTGTACAAGGCACAAAACAATATTTACAACCAATTTTTGGTTTCACGTTTTCCATGTATAAACATAAACTTATCGGTGTTTATTATTTGTTGACATCTTGATTTCTGACAGCTGGTGAAGCTTATGACGTCATGCAATATGGCGGGAGTTCGGAACGTTTGAAAAGTACCTTTTTTTCAATTTGATATTTTGGGGCCGGGTTGAACTTTTGGAATATAAAAAAATATTTTCGCAATGTGTTTTTACCTCTAGATTACAATAAAAAGGTTTATAGGGATTTTCATTTTTGATGCAATTACTCTATTGTAAATTCAAATCGATTGACAACCATATGAGTATGAGTATGAGTATAAGAGACGTATAACCAGCCCCATTTCCTCTTGACTCTCGAACCCCGTACAGGCCTATGTTTACTTACGCCGATTTTTGTTCTTCCCCAGCAACTGCACGGCTTCACCCGTGTTTGCTGGGTGCGAATGTCCATTGCGTTCCGTACTGTCCCCTATTTGGGGCTCGAGAGCGAGAGGCGAATAGTTATAATAGCCATTCCCGGGTTCGCCGAGCCTATGCTATACGCTCGGTGGGGTATGGATGAGGGACGGGAGGGAGTTGGTTTTTGGGGGACAATTACGCCGACTTAAAACTAAGTACGACGCGGAATCCCCCTAGACCAGTCGATTAGTATTACTCCAAACATTTGGGATTACTATTTGGAGTTGGGGAGTTGTTATTTCGCTGCAGGGGTGTAGTTTCCTAGTCGAGGTCTTTGTCTTGTTCGTTATTGTCATTGTCCGTGTCCTGGTCAGATAGTTCCTGCCCTTGGTAAAGTGTGTCAGTTGTTTTTAATAATTTTTGTCCCAAGCACGTTTTGTGGTAGAGTTCCGTCTTTGTTTATCAAACTCCAAAGCATTGCATTTATTCACTAGTCAAACAAATCACAAGCGCGATTATTCTGTTGTCTAATGTTTACAAATCTCGAGTTTGGCTATTAGGCCCTTTTTTTTAATGTGTTAGAATTATGATCAATGTTAGTTTACTCTGTCAGTCCAGTGTTTATTTTCGGTCTCGGTTGGGACCGCCTTACGCATTTGCTGTTGAAAGACTTATTGCCCCACGCCGCGTGCCCTTCATAGGTTTTAAAGATATCCCAATAAACACTTTAACGATACCTATCACCATTAACATTGCCCGTGTAAGAATTTTTAACACTTTTTAATACAATTTTGCAATGATAGTAATTAAAAACAAAACAATTGTTTAAAGAGTAAAATATGTTCTTAACATAATCATATTTTAAAGTTATTTTAACATTTTCAAGTAAATAAATGTTATGTTAAATGAAATGAATACGGGCAATGTTAATGGTGACAAATAACGGAAAATGCTTGCTGGGATCTGCCGTATTTATATTGCAGATTTGTATCAGGTCATGCATACTCTTAAAGTAAAACTTATCAGATTATTCCCCTTGCGGACCCAGATAGCACAAAGAAGTACTAAAAACGTCCTGAGTATATCTTGTATCAGACATTAGTAAGTTCCGAGTACGTCCGAATCAGGTCCTGAACCTTCCCCAGGACGTTCCAGGGACATCCGATGTTACCAAATCGTCGGTCCCCAGAACGTCCTAAGTAGGACATCCTCTGGCCATCCTGAAATGCTTTATTGGGGACGAAAGGACAAGCTTTACAGAATTGAAGAGTGGTATTCCCAAAGGCCCAGACAGCAATATGACGTATTTTATTAATTTGTTAAATGGATTTTATTAAAATCATTTTAATAATTTGCTCGTATTCGCCTATTTTAGGAATTGCGATTACTTCGTCTCACTTTTGTTTAAATTTAAGCGTGCTCTTCACCACTAACTTCTAGCCGGTGCCCCAGCATTGATCCCGACTGGACAAAGAATTTATTATATATTATACAATGCATCATTATCATTTAAAATTGGCGGCACAACAATAATATAATAATAAATTGTACCTGTATACATGTTAAGGGCACGTTAGTTACGTAATAAAACCAAACCAACCCAAACTCAACAACACAACCCAACCGACCCCGCCCCATTGGCCCCCCCCCGCCCCATTGAGCAAAAAACCCAACTAAAATGGGCAAATTTATGTTACGATAAAAATAAAACACTTTTTAACAAAGGAACAACAAATTTATGAAATAAAAAAGTAAAAAAAAATTGACAACTTCTGAGTATCGAACCCGGGACCTCTCGCATACAAAGCAAACGCCCTACCATCTAAGCTATTTAGCTTGACAACAAATATTGTATGTTCGGGGAACAAAACCGGATTATTATTATGACGTCACGTTATAAGGCGGTTCGTGCCAGCTCGTGAGAAGTCGGGATCGATGTTGGGTCACCGACTAGAAGTTTCTCTCTTCACCGGCACCGATAGACGGCCTGTTTCCCTCTTTTGGAGCTCGTCAGTATCGAGTAGCCGTTTACCTAGGTCTAAGACCGTTTGGTATGAAGCACGCTCTAAATTCTACTTCGCCGCTTCTTATATCAAACACAAGCAGTTACAGCGGTGAGAAGAAAGAATCGCAATAAAATGTCATAAATGTGACGTCTCCAAGTTGACGTCTTAAAAAGTTAATAATATGATTTCAGTAAGAAGTAAGAAAAGATAATACTGTAAGATATCATATAACTACAGTTTAATTAACTAAATGATAATATATTATTTAACCAACTTGGCACTTAGACCCTTTGGAAACACAATGCTTCAATTACGTCCTTGGGACGTACCCAGTATATCCGCTATAATTTTCCCAAATAAGTAAGAGACTGGACGTACCCAAAACTTCCGATATAGGTCTAGGACGTTCGGACCTATGTGGGTTGTTGAGTTTGGGTTGGTTTGGGTAATTCATACTGACATTTCATTAATTTTGTTGTTAATTGTATTTCAATCACTTAATTAAATTTTAATCAATGTTTATACAACTTGAAAGTTAGCTTAATAATTACATAATTAATATCAAGAGTTAACCAGCTCTTTACCAACTGTTATACAACTGGGCCTTATAAGGCCCAGTTGTATAAGTGACTATAGTCACTGTAGTGTACCAATTTAATGTCAACTAATAAATCCGAAATTTTACCATCAGCTGTTATGGAAACACGCATGCGCACAAACCTGATGTAAGTACTTTTAATAGCGGTACTCCCGGTGTACTTCTAGTCACGGCGTTAAAAAAAACAGTGGGATTTTGTTAAAATTTTGGTTATATTTCTTGTACCCATTTAATGTTAGTACTCGTACCCTCCGGCGGTCACGCAATTTAAAACATACGAATATATTTCTTATATAGCATTGACAATTTGCACCGTGATCGCTTTTTATATTTTTTAAGCATCAATGATCTAGCCGGTCTAGTGGTAGGTGTCAATAAAAAATTAATTGGAATTGTATTTTATATTAAAAATGGCAAACAACAGTGCATAGGCCTTTAAACACCAATGGGCGAGATTATGATCTTAAAATATTATTTTAAGTTCATTTTTAGATACCTGCATGTGTCTACCTCGCAAGAATCATGATTTTTTTAATTTAAGATTTAAGAATTCAAAATAAAAAGTAGTTTTTTCTTTAATATACGTAAATTTTGGACACATTTTTATAGTTTTCTTTGTCATTTGTTTAACTTTTTTTGGTTGGGAAGGAAATTTTGCAAAACGTACGAAAGTAGCACTGACGTCAAGGGTCACCCTTGAAGGGTGTTCCTGAAACTTTGCAAATTGTGCAGCCATCTAGCGTGAAATTGTACTAAGATCAAATTGTACTAACTTATCGAGAAAATTCAAAACTTGTCCAAATTTAATTAATATCAGATTTCTGCTCCCAGAATCACCCTTGCATACGTAAAATTATAATAAATAAACTACTGGCGCTTTTGTTTTTCTTATGAAAAATCTACAAACTGAGTTTAGTTGTGTAATTATTTAGGAAGTTCAGAAGATAAGTAATAAACAACTAAAAATACTAACCTGTCCATTACATCCACTATCACATCACAGATTCACAGCTGAGTGCCGACGCCGACAGCCTGTCGGCGTCAGCAACAGGATTTATAGGTTAGGTTAGTGATGACTTGACGTTCGAGTTTTGACGTTGACATTTGACGCCGTGCGCCATATTCCCTAGTAAGAGGATTATATAATAATATAATATTCTTATTCCCTATTCCCTCTTAGATTCGAACCCGGGACCTCTCGCATGCCAAGCGCCCGCCCTACCATCTGAGCCATCTAGCTTGTTGTCAAATATTAAACGCTCGGGGAACAAAAACGGATTATAATTATGACGTAATTACGTCATAATTCTACACCGCCAATTAATTGGCGGTATAGAATAGTACACCGCGTGCGGTGTACTAGCAACAGCGTTTATTATTTGTGATTGTATGTCAATCGAACTGAGTGAAGAAGTAGTATTCTTTAGTCAATGCTTAAACAATAAGTGAAGAATAGTGACAGTGATAGAAAATTGAAAAAAAGGGAACGGCTAGCAGATATTTTTTCCTTAACCAAAGTCGCGAGTCCGGGACTCGGAGTCCCGCTGCTTTACCGAGTCACACGTCACAAACTGTAAATCGGTATTATTTTCCGAGCGGTAGAAAATTTACAATAAGCTCGGTAGCTCAGATGGAAGAGGCTCTTCCATCCGAAGAGCGCCTGCTTTGTATGCAATTGCATCTCTTAAGAGATACCGGGTTCGATACTTGGCGCATCTACAACTTTTTATTTAAAGAATTTATATAGCGAAATAATACAATTTGGCCTTAAAAGCATTGATATTTAATTTTACATTAATATTTTAAATTATTTACCCTTCCTCATAATCATTTTGCTAGTTATATAATATAATATGTAATTAAATGAATATTCCTTCGTTGAAAAATTTTTGCTCAATGGCGCGGGGGGAGGGTGTAGCGGGGTCGGTTGGGTTTGGGCACAATGTAGATTATGGGTTTGGGTTGGTTTCGAAGCTTCGCAATATTTCGATTTTCGCAAAATATTGAATCAATCTCAAGATTTCCGCCCCCCAGATTTCAAATCTTGCAAATTCGCAGGATCTGTCGAAACGTCAAAAGGCTTTTCCCGCCACATCAAATGACCAATGAAAACATTTTTCGTATTTCGCATTTATATAAAACCGCTTTTAGTCACTGAATTCGCAAGCGCGAGATGACTCGGTAAAGCAGCGGGACTCGGTAAGCGGGCGGACTCGGGACGTTGGTGAAGGAAAAAATATCTGCAGCCTGTCGCCATACAATTGGATGCGCAATGGTCCAAGCTCCTTCTCCCCCCTCTATATCTCTGGATATAGTTCTTTTTTCATTTAAATTAAATTTTCTTATCGATTTTATTTATCCAAACTATTTTAATTTGTTATTTCGTGTAGTTTTTTATTTTCTTACAGATTTTATTTATCCAAACTATTTTAATTTGTTATTTTGTGTAGTTTTTTTTACGGGTTGCAAGTTTAAATAAACATAGAAATGTTTTTTAAATGAAAAAAGAACTCCTTAAGCCTAATTTCTAGATTGCCTTCCTTCCTTCCTCCCGTAGAAGATAAACAATACAAAAACCGTGCTGTTTAAAGATTCTAAATGGCACTACGATTTTCGTATTGTTCATCTTTTACGGGAGGAAGGAAGTAAGGAAGGCAATCTAGAAATCAGGCTTTAATGAGGAATTATGAATTTTACAAATTATACCTAAGTGTAAAAAAATAATTGGAGTATTTTTCGAAAAAAATCTTGGAAAAGTTTTTCACGGAGCCGGCCTATTTTCGATAAGCAACTTTTGCCCAAATTTGATAAAAAATTCTTCATTCGCAGAATTGGGTAAATTTTTAACGATAAATTGTTAATAATCTCAATAATAAAAGTGGTTTCACACTGATTTTCGACATCATGTACACGTCCCAAGTTGGTCTTAAGAATGTTTTAATTGTTCTTAATAATAGGGTTGGGACTCCCAACTAGGGCTGTCAGAAATAAAATTATGAGGCGGTTAACCGGTCATAGGATTTTTAACCGGTTTTTAAAAAAACCGGTTTTGAAAACCGTACATAAACAGTTTTTAACATGTCGAAAAAACCGGTTTATTCGACCGGTTGAAAAATTGGTTTTTTCGACCGGTTAAAAAACCGATTTTTTGGACCGGTTAAGAAAACCGATTTTTTTGACCGGTTAAAAAACCGATTTATTTGACCGGTTAAATTCAGTTTTTAAAACCGGTTAGAAATTGATCCAAAACCGGTTTTTGATTATTCAGAAAAATCGATTTTTAACTGGTTTTTATGAACGAGTTTTTAACCAAGTTATGATTCTTTTAAAACTTAACCGCAAATTGCACGGTAAATAAAAACCAACAAATCAAATTCTTTTGGCAGCATATAAAGACCACTATGAAAAAGAATTTCTTCTGAAGAAAGATATATCAAATGCTATAAGATATTACTTCATGTTTCATGATGGTTTATAGGTACTTCTTAAAGTAAGTTTTAATGTAAAGGCAAATGTTTTTAAACAAAAGATTACTCTCTAAACAACAAAATTAGTCAAATATCCATAAAAAAACACTAGTTAAACCATTTTATTCAACAATCTAGCTTTATTCACAACTGTCATTCATAATGTTATTAACAGATGGCGGCAAAACCACGTTTTTGTAGAGAAAAAGTTGTTTATTTTATAAATTTTTATTTTAATTATCTAAATTGTATTTAATAAATAGTATTTACTTATGGGTATTTTATGTGTATTTAGTAAATACACATTTGGCCCAGTCACAGAAAAGTCAATATTTTATTTTTTACTTAATTTTAGACAACAAAAACAAAAGAAAAATCTATTGAATCCAACTATTACAATAATAATAGTTGAATTCAATAGATTTTTCTTTTGTGTTTACCAAAATTAAGTAAAAAATAAAATATTGACTTTTCTGTGACTGGGTCAAATGATGATTGTGGGCTCGTATATTATATAAGCAACCGCCGCTCACGAACGGCGTTTGCTGCGGTGCTTACCGTCAAAGGCCGCATCACAAAGTCCGATTTTTTAAAATTATAGACTATGACCGGTCTTGTATCGGTCAAGAAAACTGATTTTCACCAGTCGAAAAGACGGTTTTCAACCGGTCGAAAAAAAACCGGTTTTCAACCGGTCGAAAAAAAAACCGGTTTTCAACCGGTCGAAAAAACCGGTTTTTAACCGGTCGAAATAAAACGGTTTTTAATCGGTCGAAAAAAATGGTTTTTAATCGGTCGAAAAAAACCGGTTTTTGACCGGTCGAAAAAAACGATTTTAAACCGGTCGAAAAAACCGGTTTTTATTAAAAGTATAACCACGGTTTACACGGAAAATAAAAACCGGTTAACCGAATACTTGTGACAGCCCTACTCCCAACCCTATTATTAAGAACAATTAAAACATTCTTAAGACCAATCCAATTCGATTTTTAGCACAACACACTCAAAATACAATATTATGAACGATACATTTTTTGGAGAAATTCTTTCTCTGTAGTCAGCGTAGCTAAACCGAACGGTGACATCGGCGAAATCCGCTTGTTGAGGCCCCTTTTGTGATTTATTTTTAATTACATTTATATAATTTAAAATAAATGGTGGCCAAGGTTAAAAAATAAACATAAATGAAGCGTTTGTTGAAGTATTTATTGTTTTTTACAGAACGTTTTATTAAAAACATAACGCAAAGTTTAATTCTTGTTTTCATACCATAATTTTAACATTGATTAATATTAATCACAGTATATATTTTTATTTAATATATCTGACTTTGCAGTTGTAAACCTTGGGTTAAACTGAGTTTAAAGTCGACCTTTTGGTGTTCATACTTACATTGTGATTTTTTATGCTTTTTAATACATTGGATTAGAATGATGCATCACGATGGATTGATTATATTTAAAACATCACTTAATTTTAGGTATGAAAAACTACAAAAGGTTTTGAAATGTCACTGACACCAATTAAAAAAAAAATATATGAAACATTATAGATAATAAATAACATAAATGCTTTAGAAAATAAGTTAGGGATATATTACAGTTTGCTTAACTAATAAAACAAAAAAGTTTGGACATATGACATAAAAAATAAATACAACAAAAGTATTACCTATAAGGTTTCATTAATTATACACAATTTAATAACACAACAGTCCAGACGAAATGAAATAATTTTCAACGGATGCTTCCCGCTCAATCGATGTATTGTGCTAACCAACGGAAGCCTTCACCATAACCTTGCCTTTTTAAAATGGAACACATAAAAAGTTCCAGTGGCCGACCTGCCAAATCTGACCTGGCTACTTTACCCTTTAAAAATAAAATAATATTAATAATTATTATTTATTTTTCAGCAAAAAGCGTTCAAGAATTAGAATAAAAGAAAACTGTCACCATTATTATAATAATTATTATGGCGGCGGAGGCTAATTTAATAAAATTATAAAAATTATTTTTAATATTTAATAAATACGAAATTGTCATATTCCGTAATGGGAGTGGAACAAATAATTTTTGTATTTTATTATATTATATGTTATTATTTATGCATATTCAGGCCAATTCATTGTAATTTGTCCCTTCCCACAGTGTTTCAATTCTGGAAAATATCGGCAAAACCTTAAAAATTGACATTTTTTTTCAGGTAAATTTTCAGTTATATGGGTAGTTAATACCTGTCTCCATCCTGTATTGAAAAAAATTTATATAAAATACGTATATTTTGTCTTGTACATCAGTTTAAACTTGACGCTTTCCGTTGAAGGTACTTTACACGCGATCGCCGCGTAAAATTGTTTATTGTTTAAAAGTGAATAACTTGTGTTTGGTGTGTCCGATTGTTATGCGGTTTGATGAAGGGTGATTTTCAAGGTACCTATCTAAAATTCAGATATGTATTTGTTTTTCGTAGATTTTGCTTGTACAACTGGTTATTGTAACCGACAAGATCGGTCTGTTAAAATCGCAAACTTTGAATCGAGCTTTTAGAACAATGGAGCTACAAAAATTGTAATGAATTGTAAGGCATCAGTTCAAGATCCGTTAAATAGCTTAGAGTTTTGTCTTCAAGACATCAATAAATTAGCTGCCCCAACTTGCCCCCGGCTCTTTAAAACTACATGTTCTTGGGCGCTCAGGCACGGTTGTGGTAAAAAACCTCGCGATTTTAAGCCTATGTCTAGCGCGTATCTGTGTTTTTGCTTTAAAAAATATAAGATTTTTTTTTATTTCTGGGTTGCGTCCATGACGTTTACTCGATTCACTCGGATTTAATTCAAAACGTTGCGGTGTCTAGACTTTCACTTGCGTAAATCGTTCCTGACTACTAAGATATTTAACACCGATTTTACATATTTAACCCACCTCTTGTAGGTGCGTTAAAACAACTCCGCATGCGCATTGTAGTGTGTTAATGTCAAATTTGAAATGTTGACAATTTTTTTAGCGAATTAAGAAATCGTTGCTAAAATATTAAGTAAAAGAAATAATACAAATTTAAAATACTTAGTATAAAATCTGTTATATTTAAATTATATATTTAAATTTTGAAAGTTTCTCGGAAGAAAACGATGGAAGATGTTTTCCATTGGCTTATGGCATCTTCCGATCCGTATATTTCTAGCTTCAAAAAAATTGCTCCGAAAAAGAGCAAATCTTTGTCCCGCGAAGCAATAAAACTGTTGCTATCTTCTGATGGTTTCCCATGCTCTGCTAATGATACAACGAGCGAATCCAGTGACGGAGATTGTTTAATATATATGTAGGTATTAAATAATATCATATAAATGTAATTATAATAAACTAAATTAAGCTATTTTATAAAAAGATGTTTTATTACATTTTAAAAAGAACCTCTTACGGATTTTTAATTAATTTCGACAATATTTGATAAAAATGTCCGCCATTTGAGGTCTACCATTTTGAATTTTGGAATTCTGATTCCAGATTCATTATCAGCGACCACAAAAACCCCTGTATGGTGATTTTCAATTAATTCCGTCAATTTTTTTACAAATATGTCCGCCATTTTGGATCTACCATTTTGAATTATGGAATTCTGATTCCAGATTCGTTATCAGCGACACCAAAAACCTCAATAAACGGATTTTTAGGAGAATTCGACTACTCCTTGATATTTTGCCGAAAATTTCGAGAATTGAAACACTGTGCGTCCATATGCTTGAAATGGCCGAATTGTGGAGCAAACATGCAAAACTCGATAAATCCATTTTTACATTTTAAGAGTATAGTACCAATTCTTACTAATTTTGGTAATTTCTTTTGACTTAGCACAGCATTTTAAGGAAAACCCAAAACAGAGACAACCCAGCAGGAGCAACATCCCCTTTTAATAGAAGTTAGAATGGATTTATCGGCTTTTGCATGTTTGCTCCATAATTAGCAGAGTTGGATTCTCACTTTAAAGTACTTACAGAGATAAAATTAAAAAAAAACATCAACAAATTAAGCGCATCATAAACTAGGTACTTTAAACCAGTTAAATTTGATACTTACTTTTCCTGTGGTTTGTCCAAACAAGGCGTAGAAATTTCTGAGCTCGTCTTCGGACGCCGCACCGGGCAAATCGATTTTGTTGCCGAGGATCAGCACGGGGCAGTTGGACAAGGTTTCGTCTGTAAGTAGCGAGTCAAGTTCTTGTTTGCTCTCGACGAATCTCGATCTGTCGTTGGCGTCAATCAAGAACACAATAGCGTCCACCGCTGGAAAATAATCCTTCCATACCCTCCTGGCTGCAAGAACAATTTATTTATACTCAGTGGTTACAAAAAATAATATATTTTTTGTGAAAAGTTATGGGAAATATTTCTTACCTTGCGAGTGACCGCCCAAATCAAAAGTTGTAAACCTCATATTTCCTATTGACAGTTCCTCAGAAGCTAAAAAAAACAAATATTTAGTCTAAAATGTAAAATTATAATTATTTTATTTAATGTATTTGAGCAAATGGTTATTTACGGTGTTCTGAGTTAGGACCTTAATTTTAACAATCATAATTTATTATAACCTTTAGAAATAAAATAAGTCATCAACCAAGGGATATTAACTAAGGCTGGGAATTTTTAAGTTTTAGAAATTATTATTATTATTTCGAATATTCGAATTCGAATAAAATTTGTGAGCAATCTTTAAAAATTCATTTTTTAAGCTGTACCCTAGGAAAACTCATTAATTTTTTCTTTACAAAAATTTACTGTAGCGAAAAAATTATTCTTTTAAATTCGAATTTGAATATTTTTGTAATTTTCAAAATTCGCAAGCCACCTAATTTTTTATGAGAGCTCTTAATTTTTTTAATAAAAATGACAAATTAACATATTTGAAAAAAGTTTTTTCGCGCCACCCTTACGTATAGTGATTTAAAGTGTTTTAATATTTGAGTATTCGAATATTAGAGTATTCAAATGTTCGAATATTCTTATATTTGAATAATTTATAATCGATTTACACCGCTATTCAAATACTCGAATATTCGAATTATTCGTATTCGATCCTCAGCCTTAATATTAACAGATCTAATAAATTGTTAAAATGTTTACCCTTTTTTAAATTATTATTTTTAATGTATACATTAAAAATAATAATTTTAATTAAATCTTCTGTGTAATTATAATAGTTTCAAAGCCTTAATTTATTATACGAATTATTCTACAAAGTATAATAAACACTCAAAGTAGTTTTTTTATAAAATTTAAAAACAGTTTTTTCTTATAAATTATAAATCTTGTATAAGATTACAAAATAAAAGTGTTTCAAAAACAATTTTTATGGTTTAAACTAAAAATACTATTTTTTATTTTGGTTATATTTGGAATAAAAACCGAATTTCTTTTCATATAATATGAGCGTTTCGAAAATTTGATTCAAATTTTTTTACTTTTGCAAATCCACAACTGTATTTTTTTTCGCACCCTGTACAACAAAATCGGAGTTTCTCAACGTGAATCATATTTATATAACAAGCAAAAGAAATTATAAAGAATTACTTTTCTTTGAAAAATTGAAAATAAATACTTATATTTAAGTCCATTTGTGGACAACCTGTATAATAGTGCGTATATTGGTGTATATATAATCTAAAACTTAATTGTTATTTAATTATAAATATTAATATGCTGAAAACATTGGATGGATTAAAATATTATATCTTAACCAAAATTAAAAAAACAGTTTAGACAATTAGATAAAATGTTAAACACAATGAATATTAAAAGTTTTTAGTTTAAAAGAAGCAAGCTATCATTACCAAATTTTTTATAGGATTTTTTTCAAACTCATCAATACATTTATTAGAATGTATCATATGCATTTAAATTGGTTACATTAAAAATTTTTGGTTAATGCAAAAAAATGAATTTTTCTTTGAATCCTAATAATTAAGAATTTTTTAATTCATACCAAAATGATAAAAACTGAATTTCAAAAATAAAATAAAGTCCAGTATTTAGGTGTACATATGTTACAATTAAGGTGCTTTGTACAAAAACAGACTAGGGTCCAAATTGTTATTTACACTTATATTTTGAATTAATATTGTAATCTAACAAGATAATGTATATGAGAAAACATAGGGTTTAAACAGCTCAAGTCTACCTTTATAAGTTTTTAGGATATGTTTAATGTTTTAAATAAAATATAATTAACAAACATTTTTGGACTAAGCTGTTTTTGTCAATAAATTATTATTGATATTACCAATGATGTGTTGCTCCTTATATGTACAGTGTCTGGAAATAATGAGCAAAAACTTTGTGGACATTATTACATAATATATTAAGTTTAGATTAGAAGATACAGATAAAGGACAAATGTATTAAGGGTTTTAATTACTTGTTAAAAAGGTTTTTTTTAAATGAAATAGGTTTATATTTATCCGAAAATTTGTAAAAAAAAACTCTTAAAAACGCTTAGAAACTTATTAAATTATGCGTCCTTATGTTTTTGCTTATTATTTTTAGATAGACCATTTAAAAAAAATTGGAAATGCTCACTGGGATGTAATGTAGGAAGATGCTGTGCTAGTCTATCGTCCTTGAGCATGTGCAACAGCGTAGTTTTGCCAGCATTGTCGAGCCCCAGAAAGAGTAGCTTGCCAGATTTCTTCCACAAGCCTGCACAAACATGCAAATTGTATTAGTACATGAACATTAAACTCACCTTCACTTTGATTATCAGAAATAACATCTGTGCTGTTTGAATATGGTAGCAGATCAATTTCTCCATCCTCATACAGTAGTTTTATTAGAGAAGCTTTACCACAGCTTTCAGCACCACAAAATATGTATTTTCCCTTTCTTTTAATACCTATTCATAGTAATAGTAATTTTAGATTCAAATTTTATCACTACCTATTATACAGCCATTCCACGCTACTCGGGAATTTTTGTAGCGTCCGTTACAATCAAAAATTGTGATTAAAAGCTACCGTAATTAAATTAAATACTGTTACAATAGTTAATATTGCAAACATGTTTATTATGCTTGTAATAATTAGGCTTAAACTTATAAGCATAATAATTACGGTAGTTTTACTCACAATTTTTTATTGTAACGGACGCTACAAAAGTTCCCGAGTAGCGTGGAATTGCTGTATACCAAAACATGGTATTATATAACACAACATAACACAATACCATGTTTTGGTATAATTGTTTTTAGTAGAAAATTTATAGTTAAAAATAAAGTCAAACTAAAGTTTTTGGAATTTTTAAATTTTAATTTAAAAATGTCAAAAACAAACAATATTTGACTATTAAATTAAATGTGTATGGTCTAAGAAAAAAATCGATTATAACTTCGACTTTTTAGTTGGTATACCTATATTTAAGGAGGTGCATTTCAAAACTCGGCTTATCCATATTAGTTGTTTTGGAGCAAAATGTCAAAAACCTTACACGTGTGTACTACCGCATATTAGACAAACACAATACTTTAAACGAAATATAAAAGCATAAGTAAAACATTTATACCTTGATTAAAAAGGTATAGCTCCAGTTTAAAATAATTTAAAATTACATACGTATTTGCGAAGTTCTGCATGATATAACCAATAGAAAAGGCAAGTTTTGGAATGATAGTCAATTTGCAAATGATTTTTAAATGGAATAAGGTTAGTTTTAGAATATTATGAACTTTTCAGGGTATAGGGGGATACATGTTAAATGTACAGACACTACTAACTCATTTTTATTAAAAAGTGGATAAGCCGAGGTTTGGAATGGACCTCCTCATTTATACCTATCTATATCTATACCTATCTATAGAATAATCCTTAGAAATATAAGAACACCTTGCAAATGTTGCTTCAAATAATCGTTTTCGAGATATAACGAATTCGAATGTAAAAGCCCTTTTGGGGGCAAAACTTCATTTGGATGAAATTATGCCAAATGCCACAATGGAAGAAAAAGTACATTGCCTTATGGACATGTTTGGAGTAAAAAAGTAACGAATTTGGTTTTATAAATATTACATCACACATTATTTTCACATTATTCACAGTATTGCCTTGACACTCAAAGTGGATAGACGCGCCAAGTAGTTAAAGATTCCTCTCCTAGCAGCGTATACTAGAGAAACGTAATAAAGTTCCAAAAACGAACCTAAGTATTCGGAAATATCGGTAATCGGTAATAAATAAATAAATAAATAAACAATCAAGTGCGGAAAGTGTGATAAGTGCAAAAAAAAGTGCAAGTGTGAAAAGTGCGGGAGATCCCCTGTTAAAGCCGTAAAAGAGTGCAACTGAATAAGTAATTAAGGCCAACCGGTCCAACTGGTCAGCAGGGATAGTCACAAGCAAAGCCTGTCAATAACCTGCAGGGAGGTCCAGAAATAACGGACAGACCGTGAAAGACCTAGCATCAGGATTATAGCCTAATAATCAAGCTAAGTAATTTTTCTAACTGCATGTCTTATTAAAAAAAAAACATTTTATTCCAAAAAATCTAAAGTAAAACGTATTATATACCGAAAAGTAAATTTCAAGCCCCAGCAAATAAACATTCCTATTGAGACAGACAACACTCAAATCATTACATAAACAAAACAGAAAAGGCAGATAAGACATTAGCTCCACCCCCCAAATAAACACTCGACTAATACCATAAATAAACGCCAAACCATAAATAATAAATAAACACAAACCATAACAAACATGGAAATAGTAAACACGATTGATCATTCGGTGGGAATAATTAAAATTCCATCCGACGGAAATTGCTTAGTGGCCAGCTTGGCTCATCAACTAGATAATAGCCTGACTGGGTCAACAAGTACATACGCATTAAGACAATGACTAAATAACCACTTACGAACACACATTAAGACATACAGCCCATACTTACAGGATGCGATCCTTGACCAACCCCACCGCTACGCGCATAATAACGACTGGGAACGAAAAACAGAGGCGTACCTAAAGGACCACGCACAAAACGGCTTCTGGCTGGGTTTGGAAACAATAGCAGCATCGGACATATTTAACGTCGCAATCGAAATACATCACGAACAGGGGCGTACACGGAGAGAGGAATTTTGCCGAAATGGCTATCCGGGGTATTGTTGGATGACGTATCGTGGGTTTGGTCAACTGTTTTATTGGGCTGAGGATCTGTATAGCTAATTTAGCCATACAGATCCGCAGTTTAGTGGGACAGTTGACTGATTTCGCGATGCGTCGTTTGACGGGGCTTTAGATGGTTATTTTGGCAAAATTTTTCTCTCCATGTACTGACAAGATATCGCCCAGAGTCCTCCTAGAAGGAAAAACAATCACCAAACGTGTCAGGGTGGCACAACTAAAATACTGGGCACATGCCGACCCGGAGACGGACACAGAAACTGACGAACCGGAAGTAAACCAACAAAGATAGGAGTAAGCAAATAACTAACATACCCACCCCCCATTCACGAATACCAATTGAATGGGGGTACTACTAAGGCCTAGGTTCAGGAGGATTCCGGATTGTACTTAGTTTTGGGTCAGTTCAATGTCCTCCAAAAACCCTTCCTAAACTGGACGTATGGCCCGACCCGGCTGACAAAAATCCCGGGAGCGGCCTTAACCTTTGACACTGTCATCCACGAACTCCTAGGGTGGATCTACCAGCCGGCGTAAAAACTTCGGATCCAACAAACACAGGTAATGCTGTGATTTGGCGGGATACGCAGGAGAACGGAAAGGGGGGTAAAATAACACCGGGAGATCAGTGGATGATAATATATCTGGGGCTGGGGTTCCCATACTCATACTCACATTATTGACCATTGGACAACATTTACGTTCACAAAAAATTTTAATTTATTTTATATAAATTCTTAAAGCGAAGAATATTATCCGCTAGGAATACTTTCTCTTCTGGGCCGTAAAGCAACCTATATTTAACTACTTTTTTATATGATTTTACTCATCCAAGCACCACCAAAGCCAAATTAATTGCATTTTTAACTACGAATTTCGACAACTCAACTTGACAACTGCACAATGTAACCTACAATAATTTATACATAACCACAATTAGATTTATAACCTGCTTAGTTTGCTTTAACCAACCAAAACCCTAAATTTGCAACGTTGTATTTTTTTATTCATAGCCTAATTAAAAATAAATGTTACATTTTCAAATCACAATTAAATGGGTGCACTGAACAATTTAAATGAAAATATCTTGAAAACGAATACTCGCAGCCACATTTATATATACCTTTTTCATATAATAAAGATAAAGTAAAATTTTTATTAAAAACGTGTCTCAAGTCACAATTTAAATATTTTCTGGGTTATACTTGGATACATTGAATACTTCTAATGATTATTGTATAATGTAATATACAGTGATGTAATGTATCGAGATACATGTATCTAGATACTGGATCTAGATACATTTTATGTACTATTGCGGCCGATAAAAAGTAATCGATTCTTTATCAAGTTGCATGTTTTTCTTAAAAATTGGCTATTGTAAGTAGGGTTTTTTACGTCAGTCATGTCAATTAAATTATTTTGACAAGAAATCATAGGTGTATGACATATTTAATTTTTTAATAAAAAAAACTTATTCGTAATATAAACAAAAAGAACAAATTATTTATTGGGCAACCAAAAAAATAAATTTAAACTTAAAAAGAAATAGTATATTACGACTATAACAATTATAAAAGATGAGACAACCAGGGTTGGATGGGCTCAGAAAAACCGGCCCTGGCAATTTTTTCATTCATCCCTCCCTCGGGCATTATCTTACATAATCTTACACATTTGTAATGCTATAAAAACTGCATTTAAAAAAATAATAATTAATACTTGGTAGAACCACCATTCTTCTCTATAACATTTTGTAATCTCCTAGACATGGAACTAATTAAATTTTGCATATCGTAATTTTCTTTCAAATTGTTCCACTCATTTTGAATTGCATTAATAAGGTATTCTCTTTTTCTTGGTCTAAATTCATATTTATATATTTTTTTACGAGATATCCCCAAATATTTTCGATTGGGTTTAAATCGGGGCTTCTTGACGGCCAAGGAAGCGTTGTAATGTGATTTTCCTCTAGCCAATTATGAACCACATGAAAAATGAAAAAAAAAAATATTTTTTTGATCAGGAAAGATTAATCATAAAGTGTTACGTGTTGAAACACAAAATCATTATCAAATCTTTCTTGCACTGACGGGAGCATTACATCGTTTAAAATTTCCACGTATCGGTTCCCAGTTAATCGGCCTTCTACACTGAAAAAAAATATTCTTGATTCAAAACAATATTTGTCTCATATATAACGAAGAGAATATATTCTTTAAAATAGTAAAGTATTTTCTTAATTCACGTTGATTTACTTCAAGAATATTTTCTTAATGTTCTTACATTAAGAAAAGATTCTTGAAGTAAATCAACGTGAATTAAGAAAATACTTTACTATTTTAAAGAATATATTCTCTTCGTTATATATGAGACAAAGATTGTTTTGAATCAAGAATATTTTTTTTCAGTGTACAATATGAATTATACCAGCCCCTGAAGATGATATCCACGCCCACACGTGAACAGAAAATCTTCCGCTGTTGTCAGTTTTGTGGAGGTATTCTTCATCAAACTTATGGTTTCTGGGACGATAAACTCGCAGTTGCCCATTGTAGCAGGATTTAAATATTTTTTCATCTGAAAAGACTACTCGCTCCCAATATTCAGCGTTTTGATTTAAAAAATTATTTGCACACTCCACTCTTAAGATGTTAATAAAGAGGCAATTGCCTCTTTATTAACATCCGTCAAGCGAGGCTTTTTAGCACTCACGCAGTTAAATAAACCTTGTTCTCGCAACCGTTTTCTTGCCGTCCTAACAGATGCTGGGAAGTTGGTTTCCTCTTTGGCTTGAATGGAGTTAGAAAATGTGTTTTGCCAGGTCACCAGTTTCCACCCACTTTTTGTTTAATTTTTGAATAGCGCTTAAGCGCAAAATTTTGCTCCAGTATATTTCATCTAGTATTTGTTGTTGAGACCATCCTTCTCCAATTTTAGCGATAATATAGCCTTTCTCTGCTTCACTTAAAGTATGGTAAGGCATAATTAAATAATGACTTTACTTAATTTAAGATTTAGTTAATTTAACATGACGTTACTTAATTTTATAAAATTATTTTTGAAATGCCAATGGTGACAACCATATTTACAACGGGAAAATTAGTCGATTACTTTTTATCGGCCGCAATAGTACCTAGATACGTATCGAGATGCTTAAAAAAATCAGGATCTACTTTAGTATCTAGATCCTTAGATACAAGATACATTTTATTTTGAATTTGTACTACAAATTTTGTAGTAAGCTTTCATATGGCGCGTAAATATAAAATTTATTTTTCTTACTACCTCGACTCAAAATACGTTGTTTCGTCCCCGATTTCACGGCAGAAAGTTTACGTTTCTTGCATTGGTCAAGCTATACGCGCACACTCTAATAGCGGGAGTAAAAATTTTTTAGTCGTGTGCTTAACATTCAAATTTCGTACTGCCAACATGAGAAACACAAAAATATGACAGTTTTAAACCATAATTTTGCAATTATAACAACAAATAAACAATTTATGTTTTTACTTTTTTACTTTTTATGTTGTTTTAAGTGTTTAATGGTACTTTTATTTGTTATAAAGTAGTAATTTATTAATTAAAATACAACGTTTTATTTTTACTGTATTGGCACCGCTGAATTCACGGCCTACTGTTATTTATTTATCAAGCTCTTCAAATGGAGATAGGTACATAAATACACATTTAATTTTTTCCCGTATTTTCGGCCGGGTTGTATTTTCGGTCGAGGTAGTAAGAAAAATAGTATACACTACACGGGCAGAAAGTGTTAGAGTCCTGAACTGCGCGCCATGATGCCCTCGGCTTCGCCTCGGGCATCATGGCGCGCAGTGCAGGAATCTCACACTTTCTGCCCTTGTAGTGTAATATACTATTCCGTTTTTCATGGATATTTCGTCAATTTTATCAAAACAGTTTTATTTTATAGTTAACACGCTTGTTTATAAGGTCCAAAAAATTTTTTTTTCTGTACCCAGATACTTTTGGGAAAATGTATCGGTATCTGTACCCAGATACATCTACCAGAGAGTATCTGTATCGGTACCTAGTTACTGAAAAAAATGTATCGGTTACATCACTATTACTAATATAAATGTAGTATAAATGTAATCATAGGTAAGTATATCGCATTATTTTGGTCTCAGGAATAATTTTGTATAGGTATTTTAGGTACACCTTGTAAACATCTTTGTTCCAACAAGTGTCATGATTGGCTTAGATGTCAAAAGTAATCAGAAATTATTACCAACTGTTTAAATGTATCCAGTAGTTTAGTCGAGTAGTTAAGTAAAATGATTAGTTGAGTAAATTGAATGTATTATCCTTTTCTGGTCGAGTAGCATCCACTCCATATACTAGGCCTGTTCAGACACATGTTTGTTGTTTGTAAATATTTTAATTTTAATAGGTATTTGTGAAATATGGAAAACATTATTTACAGCAACAAACAAGCTAGACAAGCTGCTTTTGATAGTCTAAAATACTTTGTATGGCATCATTCAATGCCAAGTGAGTATGTTTACTCCTGTTCATCTTAAAAACAATAACTCAACTGTAGGCTTATGAGTCTGTACAAGCCTAAAGGTTCTGGTGCAAACCAATTTTAAGTTCTTGTAGATACAGAGCTAATAACTTTATATAAAAAATTGAATGATTTCTGAAAGGTGCATAAGTTTCACAGAATCCTAATTTTTGTTATTGTTTTTGCAGTCATTGTTATATGATAACTTTATAGTATTTATAGGAAATAAAATACAAAGTCTATTTTGCCAGTACTCAAGTTTATCAAATACCCAAGATAAAATATAGTTTAATGCAGTTCCCACATACTATATTTATAATATATTCTGTCTTACCTACACTGAAAAAATTATTTGCAATAAGTGGAATTTCAATTTACCTATATCAATCATACCTACAATTTTTAAATAAAAAAAATTAAAATTAAATTGCTTATCATTTTAATTTATTTTTTATTATGGAATAATTTATGACCTCTTAGAATTGTATGGCAATAGGTTAGGTACTCTAGGATATTATGTACAAGGTTATTGAATAAATATGAATTAAATTTTTCAAATTCCAAGACAATATCTTATTCAAACTGTTAATTGACACATAATAATTACCTAGAGGGTTTAAAAATATTGCACATGTAAAATATAATATCAAATTACAATAATCTCTAAAAATTTAAGAAGTTTTGAAGAAAACTTACCCAAATATCCCAAAACACCAGTAAACCAGTCCCATATAAACATTTTTCTAAAAAAAGCACGAAAATTAAAAATCTTACTCTAAATAATAAACAAAAAAATGAAAATAATATTCTTAAAGTGAAAAAAATTAACTGACGTCGTATACAATGACAACATGACATTTTTTTAGAATCATATGGAATATGTATGTATTTCAAAGGTATTATGTAAATAATTAAAACCCACAATAATACTTACATGTTCTGTTAAGTATTGCTGCAACTCACTTCCTAAAAAGACAAAAAAATGCTTAAAATTAATTTAAACTTTGTACAAATAGGACTGGAGTTGGCACTTCGTACTTCAAGGGTGATGTGACACTTCAGGTTGGATAACTTGATAAAAAAATGTAGAAAGTCCCTAGATGTTTTCATCAAATCTGTAAATAAAGCCTTAATTGAAATTTATATTTAAAGTGTTAATTAAATATTAATAAATTTTAAATAAGAGACACAAATTTTAATAAATTATGGTGTTTAAATGTTTAAATAAAGACATTTATTTGTACTAAAGTTATATTGGATAACCTGACTTAGAAGAAAATGTCCCTAAGCAATTCAAATAAAAGTCATCATACTTTATTAAATTTTAATTACAATTTTGTTTGCCGAAAAAAGTATATACAATTTAATTATTTTCCTTTAAATTAAAATAAATTATTTAATTTTGAAAGTTAACTTGTTTGTGTTCATTTTCATAAGATATTGATTATTTCATAACCACAACATTATTGATTAGAATTTGTTATATGATTAGAAAACGCAAAAATGAAGTGAAAGTCAAATCATAATGAATATTTAGGGAGAAAATTATGTCCAAATTTAAAAATCGAAATATAAAAACGATACCTCAACATTTAATTGAGGAATATTACTTTAGTAAAGCTAATGATTCAAATTTAAATGAAGAAGATTGTTTTGGTGAAAGTGTAAAAATACAAAATTCACGTTCAACCTTATCCAGCTGTGATGAGAAATTGGAATCGTTTATCTTTTGCAATGACAGGGTGAATAATGTTAGTTCTTCAAGTTCTTTGAGTTGGTCAGATTTGGAATTCGAAGATGGAGGTTCTAAAATACTCGAAGAGCTTAAAAAAATTGATAGGGTATTAAAAAGAATTGACCCTGTACCTTCTCATTATGACAAAGATGAGTTTAAGCAGTGGATGGATATATTCCCCAATATAAGGTTTGTTTAATTGCTTATGCTAAAAAAAATCAGAAACCTTTATTCGATTGTTTCATAAAACTCTGTCATAAGGTGTCCTTAAATTATGTTTTCAGAAATACCATACATAATAGGTGCTTTACTGTACTTTTGTGTACGCAATGCTACTGTATTGTAACAATTGTTACAATGAGTGTTTGCAATGAGTGTAAATTTTACACTGTAATATATTACATTATATACATTACATTATATACATTACATTACACTGTAAACAGTAGCGTGCCGTATAGGGGGCCGCCCTTCTGTACAGACCGCATTTGGCGCCCTAATTAGTTGACAATTTTGTATAAAATAAAAAAATTGTTTTTAAGAAAGTTTGCCGCTTCCGCCCTTAGACCCCGGAACGCTACTGACTGTAAAATACAAGAGTAATGTAAACGCAAACTTAAAACCTGGGGCTGCATTGTGTGCTCAAAACAGTAAATTGAAAAGCATACATTTATGTACCTATACATATATGTATATATATATATCCTATAGGATCCTAAGGAATATTATCATCATAGAAAAAGGATATACATATATGTATATCCTTTTTCTATGATGATAATATTCCTTGGTTCAAATCACGGTTCATAGTAGGGTTGCCAACTTTCGGTTATTGAAATAAAGGACAAATTGGGATTTTTTTTGGGTGCCACGTCTACTTTAAAGCTTTTCCGATTTTTTTTTCGGACGTAGATGTCTGTGACTTTGGGACATCATCACTTGCATCGACGACTTTATCACCATTCATGATGATTTGATTGATGATGTTTAGAAAAAACCTGCAAATAAATAATGATTTGGCATTTAGGCAACTACTTGTTTAAAATAGATAATGCTACATTTTATGAATCTGTTTAATTTAATTTTCCAATTAAAGTTTAAAAATATATTGCGACAAAAAACTGAAATCTAATAATATAATTTTAATATTGTATTTTCCACTTACCGTTTCCTGTTAAAAAGTTGTAAAATAAGGTTAAAAAAAACACCTTACACACAGGGACTAGTCGACTACACACAAGGGCTCAACACAACGAGGAACAAAATAAAAATACAAGGTATGCTGGATAAATTGGAGGTCGGGGATTTACCAAAATATTTCAAATGTTGCCAATTTTACATTTTATGGTAGGTATTTGTATGGGCTTTTTTTGAAATAATTGTGGATTTATCTGTATTTCCGGACTTTAAAGGACATTTGCCGTCCTTTGACACCTTTCAAAAGGACAAAGAACAGTATTTAGAAATAAAGGACTGTCCTTTGAAATAAAGGACGGTTGGCAACCTTAGTTCATAGTAACCCAGTTTAACCCATTTAAGTTTTTTTTAACTCAAAATTGCTTTGTTTTGCCGCTAGAGGGCTATTTCTCGAAATGTTAATAGTATATTACACTACAAGGGCAGAAAGTGTGAGATTCCTGCACTGCGCGCCATGATGCCCGAGGCGAAGCCGAGGGCATCATGGCGCGCAGTTCAGGACTCTCACACTTTCTGCCCGTGTAGTGTATACTATTTTTCTTACTACCTCGGCCGAAAATACAACCCGGCCGAAAATACGGGAAAAAATTAAATGTGTATTTATGTACCTATCTCCATTTGAAGAGCTTGATAAATAAATAACAATAGGCCGTGAATTCAGCGGTGCCAATACAGTAAAAATAAAACGTTGTTTTTTAATTAACAAATTACTACTTTATAACAAATAAAAGTACCATTAAACACTTAAAACAACATAAAAAGTAAAAAAGTAAAAACATTAATTGTTTATTTGTTGTTATAATTGCAAAATTATATAAACCATATGGTTTAAAACTGTCATATTTTTGTGTTTCTCATGTTGGCAGTACGAAATTTGAATGTTAAGCACACGACTAAAAAATTTTTACTCCCGCTATTAGAGTGTGCGCGTATAGCTTGACCAATGCATAAAACGTAAACTTTCTGCCGTGGAATCGGGGACGAAACAACGTATTTTGAGTCGAGGTAGTAAGAAAAATAATTTATTTATAGATTCTATAGAACCTAATAAATTTTATTGATGTCTTACGTAAGACTACACAATAAAGCTAGATTTATAGATTGCCTTCCTTCCTTTCTTTCTTCCTTCCTTCCTTCGTTGTGCTGTTTAAAGATTCCCGTACGGAAATCTATAAATGGCACTATGATTTTCGTATTGTAACCTCCCGTAAAACACATTAACAATACTATTGTTAATCTTTTACGGGAGGAAGGAAGGAAGGCATTCTACCTGTGGTATACCACTATAGTAGCTAAATGAAGCAATATTATTTATTTTAAGCATTCTGTGTAATTTTTCTAAACAATTAAATAACATTTTTCTTTTTACTTGTTTATTTTAGCATTTTTGATGATGTAAATACTAATCCTAAAAGCAGTTTGCAAGCAAAATACTGTGATAAACCAATTACCAATGAGGCAAAGCCACATACTGTGATAATTAAAATGAATAACACACATGATCTGGAACCCACACCTACAAGTAGAAGATTTCAAAGTAGATTTAGTGGTCAAAAAAGTATATTTACATATTCCAATAATCCAAAAACCATAAATATTAAGGATTATTTAAAAATATCACCAATGAAACATAAGTTTATTGAAAAAACTCAGTTTTTTAATGGTAACACTTTTACATCCCTACCATTTTTGAATGGTGAAGATAGGAGAAATATATTTTCAAGTCATTGTCATGGAAGGACAATGGAAGATAAAGAAAAAATTAAGGACAATTTAATACTACCTCCAATAATAAATAATAAGGAATTTAGATCTATATCTGCAACACCAAGAAAACCTGTTAAATCCAATTATTTTGAAAGAAATACTTTTAATTATTTAACTAACTCTCATAAAAGAAAATCACATTTACATTTTTGATGTTTATTTAAAAATAAAAATAACAATTCATACAAGTATTTCATTTACCTATCTTATCACAGCCGATGTTTCAACTCTTGATGATCCGGTAGTTTTGTAAAAAAACTATGGACAATGTCATTGGTAACATCCTCAATTTTTTTTGGAGACCATTGGGGATTTTGATCTTTGTCTATCAAAAGAGCCCTTACACCTAAAAATAAAAACATGTAGAATCATTATAAATAAAAATAAAAAATATTACCTTCTAGGAAATCCTTGTTAGCCAAACAACTTGTAGCCAATCTGTACTCCATTTGAAGACAATCCAACAAATCCATTTTTTTGCCAATTTCCAATGCCTTTAAAGACACCTTAAGACTAGTAGGTGACATTTTTTGCATCAATTTTAAAGTTTGCTGCCCCCATTCTGAACAATCATTTTCTAATTTTTGTACTATACCCTCAACAGTATCAGAAGCAAATGTATAATTGATTTTATCCAAATCCTTGGTTAAACTAAACTCCGGCAAATCTTTTACATGGAACTTTTTCAAAGTATATTGCACATCATTCTCATTTTTGCATTGTAACAATTCCTGTTCCAAGTTATGCAGATCATCACTTTGCACAAAATGAGTTGCAATCCCTGCTTTCATAACATCCGAACCCTTTAACCTAAACCCAGTAAGTGCAAGATAGTAACCCAATTGACCACCTAGACGGGGCAAAAAGTAGGTGCCTCCAACATCAGGAAACAAACCGATTTGTGTCTCAGGCATTGCAAAGAGCGTTTTCTCAGTGGCCACGCGATATTTTCCATGGACAGACAAGCCAACTCCACCCCCCATGACAATACCATGAATAAAGGCTATGTATGGAATTTTGTATGACCCTATAAGTCCATTACATATATATTCTTCCCTAAAAAATTGATTTCCCAAATCGCCTCCTTCAAATGCAGATTCTACTACTGCCTTCACATCACCTCCAGCACAAAATGCCTTATCTCCAGCTCCTTTGACAATGACTAGTGTTTTCTCTTTTTCCCACTTGGCCAGTGTGGGATAAATTTTTCTAACCATAGATAAATTTAACGAGTTTAAGGCTTTGGGGCGGTTTAAACAGATTATTCCCTTATCATCTACATTTTGAATTAGTACATCTTCTTGGGAATCAGACATATTTCTTGCACTCACAGAAAATATGTTTTGAAGCAACTTTTTATTGAAAAGTGGGGTAATGTTTACCTTTTTTATTAACTAAAAAAAACATTAGTCATGAAAACATGAATTTTGTAAATTTTCTTACCATTTTTTAATATTTTATTTTAAACGTCAAGCTGACAGCGTCAAAGTTTAATTAAAGTAAAAGAGATTAAAAATTGATAAGAGTTTATTTTCTTAACGTTGGTTATTCAATACCAAATTATTTATCCTATTGCAGTAATTTAAATAAACACACATTTCATAATAATAATCACAGAATATAAATGGTCTAACCTTAAAATTTTCAGTTAGTCAGCCAGTGGCGTAGCGACAAATTTCGGCCCCCCCGCGAAAATCCTTACTGGGTCCCCTGATTTCAGGTATTTTTTACATGGTTTTATATTGTAAATAAAAAATAATACATCCGGTGACATGATTTTTTAAATTATTTATAAACGAAAAGTAACAAATAAATAATTAAAAAAAAATAAGGTTCTCCACTGTACCTACTTATAAATTATATAAGTAAAATAATAGAAAATAATAACATATTTTTTTAACATAAAAAAATAACCTTAAACTATAATAATTTTATCAGGTATCCTTGAATAGGTATATTTAGTTAATAATATTTACTCAGTAACTCTATATATTAAACTCTCTATAATATTAAACTAACCAATAATAAAAGAAACACTTTCATGTAAATACTAGACCACTTTGTGCTCACCACAGCTGACTGGCGAGAAACGCATGTAAACCAGTGGAAAAATAAAATAATCAGAAGCAGTCACAAATAAGAACCTACTTGAACCAATACGAATAAAAAAAAAACAAACTAACAACTTGTGAATCACAATCGTCAAAATTTTAGGGGTTTGCAAAGAGAACGCTTCAGAACTGTCAGAATAATACGCATAACTAAATGCGCATATCTGTTTAGAAATAGGCGCATGTTTCCAAGTTCTGAATCGTTCCTGCGTAAACCCGCTGTCAATTGTTAAATAAGCGCGATTTTTAAAATTCATCAAAAGGTTCCGTTAGATGTTTTACATTTATGTTGTGATGGTAGGCCAATAATATCAAGTACCTACCTACACTTTAGTAAATTATGATATTTTTAATTAATCATTCATTATTATTCAATTTTTAGTATAAGTAAGATGGAAATAAGTATTTTAATGTTTTGGGGCAAGTATCGGCCGGGCCCCCTACGAGGTTAGGGCCCCCCGCTTGGCGGGCGTTCGCGGTACTGTCGCTACGCCGCTGTAGTCAGCGCACTATGGGCCAAAACACAGAACATGCCAGAAGTGGTACTTTCCTAGACCAGCTCTAAGGGGCACTTCAAAGGTATTATCTTTGGGGCACTCAATGGATTATAATCTATGAACAGTGGCGTACGCAGGGCTACCGCAGTCTATAAATTTTTATAAATGTATATATATAGGTACCATTAATCTACCCTGCTGAAAAAAAAAATATTTAAAACCATTTACGAATGAAAAGTTTTCAAACTCTGAATGAGAAAAAAGTATTAGAGGTCAAATTCTGAAAAATGCACGGTTAGCGAGTTATGAGCCAAAAAGCAAAAAAACTCCCCTTTCGGAAGATAAAATTAGGGGACGCGGAAAGAAATTTTTGGCGAATATTCTTGATTCATAATCAGCACCCCTGACTACATAAAAAAAAATAAAACCCGACTACCATCGAGTTTTCCTTCTACAAGCTTTGTTTCCTGGACTAATGTTACTTATTCAGGAATACGTTCAGGGATGCCAGGTCTGGTGATTTGTCACCAGTTCTGGTGATTCTAGACCGTATTTGGTGATGTGGTGATGACCAAAGATAATACACCCCATAGATTGGAAACTCCATATACTTACCAAGTATACGTAAGTATATGGGAAACTCCATATACTTACCACAAGTATATGGGAAACTCTCCCACCACTGCCCTCTAGTTCTACAATACCTGAACTATATCTATTTTTAAATTGCAGACATCTGTACAAACGCTATTTGCAAATGTCAATGTCAATCATAATTATTGATGTCGATCATAATTTTTAAATTATTAAATACATTTTTGCGCCTTAAAAGTGATAAAACGTGTTAATGGTTGTGAAATGTATTGTTGTTGGGCGCGGAAATGTAACCAATTTGTCCCACACGGCAAAAAATATTTCAGAAATATGTCAGAAATATTTCATTGAAATATGATATATTTCGGTTATATAACTGAAATATTTCAGAAATATGTCAGTAATATTTCTGAAATATATAAATGTCCGCATAATGTTTCAATGAAATATTTCTCAAATATGTGAGAAATATTTCGGTTATATATCTGAAATATGTCAGTAATATTTTAGAAATAATTCTGAAACATTACAGTTACGTTTTAGAAATATTACTGTAATGTTTTAGTAATATATTTCTGGTCCCACTTGACGTGGTTTGACTCATAATTAGAAACGTTTTAGTAATATATTACTAAAACGTTTCTAATTATGAGTCAAACCACGTCAAGTGGGACCAGAAATTTTCACGAAATCACCGATTTTGAAAATAATCACATTATTGTGTAGTAGGCATGACTCATATGTCACAGTAAAAAAATTGTTTTAAAATTCGATTTTTTGGTAATGTTATTAAGGTTGACAATTTTGTCAAACTTTAGAGCACGGTAAAATTGAAAAAATAGAATCTCTGGGACCACTCTGTATAATTGAATTAAATTTTACACACTATTGTAGAAATGTTTAGAGTATATAATGATCATTTAATTAAGGTTAATTTGTTTAAATAAAAGAATTTTGCATACATTTATTATAAACAATTGAAATTTTGTATGTGTTCTTCACGCTGAAAAAAAATTAATCTTGTGTCATAATATGCGGCAAACGTTTCCGTTTAATAAGATGTACTCAAAAATTTGCCTTTCATATGTCATTCCGGAGATATTAATTTTTTTGTCCCGCTGTGCGCTTGATCAGTACGCGGCGCGCTTCGCTGCTAGCTCGTCAGCACACGGTGTGCCTGAACGAAGTTTAAGTCACATAAAAATTCCGCAGTTTCTTGTTCGGGACCCTTTGGTGACTTAAAAATGATATTTACCAAAATCCTAGCTGCTCCTTTTTTCGAAATTTTTTGAAAAATCTTTTTTCTGCATTATGCTTTTTACTATATAAAAAAGTAATTTTTGTCTAACCCTGTATAAATCTAAGCATATATATATAAAAACAGTTTCTCTCGTTTACAATATCGGTGTACAAATGTGTACTCTGGCAAAGGTAGACTTTGCTATAAACAAATAATTTAAAAAAAATTGAATTTTTTACAAATTAAAAAAAACAGTTAGAATTTTGGTAAATATATTTTTTAACTTCAACCAATTTTTCGTTCAAAATTGAAAACTACTAAAAAGCCTAAATTAAACAACATTTTAAATACTCTCTAAGCGTTATTTTATTAAATGTTAATACAAATCTATTTTTCTTGTAAAAGGTTAATAATAATGCCATTGTGTAACCTGATAGACCTAGAAATATCTAAAAAAAAATTGGGAATAAATATTTTTCGCGTGTTATGCTAAAATCATGAATTTACGCTTTTGCATTATTAAAAATAAGTGATTTTTGGCTAACCCTGTATATATCAAATGATGTGAACAGTATTAAAAAATATTCTCTAAGTCTCCTAAATAATATACTCCAATTTTATGAAAATCCGTGTGCAAATGTGTACTCTGTCAAAGAGATAAACAAAAATTTAAAAAAAAATCATGAATTTTCGAACAATTTCGAAAAGAGGAGCAGCTAGAACTTTGGTAAATATCATTTTTAAGTCACCAAAGGGTCCCGAACAAGAAACTACAATCAGTTTTTGGCGGCATTTTTATGTGACTTAAACTTCGTTCAGGCACACCGTTAAACCGTTCGAACGGACGAGCTAGCAGCGAAGCGCGCCGCGTACTGATCAAGCGCACAGCCGGACAAAAAAAATTAATATCTCCGGAATGACATATGAAAGGCAAATTTTTGAGTACATCTTATTAAACGGAAACGTTTGCCGCATATTATGACACAAGATTAATTTTTTTTCAGCGTGAAGAACACATACAAAATTTCAATTGTTTATAATAAATGTATGCAAAATATATTTTATTTAAACAAATTAACCTTAATTAAATGATCATTATATACTCTAAACATTTCTACGATAGTGTGTAAAATTTAATTCAATTATACAGAGTGGTCCCAGAGATTCTATTTTTTCAATTTTACCCTGCTCTAAAGTTTGACAAAATTGTCAACCTTAATAACATTACCAAAAAAACGAATTTTAAAACAATTTTTTTACTGTGACATATGAGTCATGCCTACTACACAATAATGTGATTATTTTGAAAATCGGTGATTTCGTGAAATTTTCTGGTCCCACTTGACGTGGTTTGACTCTTATACAGATTTAAAAAATTATAAAAATTATTGGAACACACTACTTGGTCTTGTTTAATTGAATAATACAAGAAAAAAACGTTAATTTAGTAAAAAAAAATTTTCGATGCCGACAGGATTCGAACCTGTGCGGGCAGAGCCCAATGGATTTCAAGTCCATCTCCTTAACCAGAGACTGTCTGTCCTTAACCGCTCGGACACAGCAGCTTATGATAGTTTTGACAAATTCGACAGACAGCTGCTACCGACTTAATAGTGTTTCTAAATAAATTATTATTATTATAATTATGTAGGTAGTTGGGTACTTATAAATATATATATATAGATCAAATTTTAATTTAATTTTATATTTAAATAATTATAAAAATATTTTTAACCATTTTCAAATGCTTTTATAAAAGAGCTCTGCCATATATAGGTATATATACCTAGGTATATGGCATATACTTCTTTTATAAAAGCATTTGAAAATAGTTAAAAATATTTTTATAATTATTAGTTTAATATAAAATTGAATTAAAATTTTATCCACATATAGATAAAATTTACTATATAGGTATATATATAAGGTAAGTGCGGGTAATAAGGCCCAGCAGGTTATAAGGCCCGACAGCCATTTTACCTTCATTTTTTAAATTATAATACTGGGGCTGCCATCTAATGATTTTACTAGGTAATATTTGATATTCGATAGAGTTCCGCCTTAATAAGATGTCGTTTGCTAATAGTAAATACAACAAGTGTTTCGACAACAAGTTTCTTTCGTGAAATTATAAAAATTGTGGTATTTTCCTAGAG